ATATATATATTACAGCTCAATTCTTCCAACAATTTAGCTTATGTTTCTTTTTCCACTTCAGCCATTTTCCTCCACCAACCTGCCTCTGTTTTCTGCTGCGTGCTTTGTGTGTAAATTTAATATATATATTACAGCTCAATTCTTCCAACAATTTAGCTTATGTTTCTTTTTCCACTTCAGCCATTTTCCTCCACCAACCTGCCTCTGTTTTCTGCTGCGTGCTTTGTGTGTAAATTTAATATATATATTACAGCTCAATTCTTCCAACAATTTAGCTTATGTTTCTTTTTCCACTTCAGCCATTTTCCTCCACCAACCTGCCTCTGTTTTCTGCTGCGTGCTTTGTGTGTAAATTTAATATATATATTACAGCTCAATTCTTCCAACAATTTAGCTTATGTTTCTTTTTCCACTTCAGCCATTTTCCTCCACCAACCTGCCTCTGTTTTCTGCTGCGTGCTTTGTGTGTAAATTTAATATATATATTACAGCTCAATTCTTCCAACAATTTAGCTTATGTTTCTTTTTCCACTTCAGCCATTTTCCTCCACCAACCTGCCTCTGTTTTCTGCTGCGTGCTTTGTGTGTAAATTTAATATATATATTACAGCTCAATTCTTCCAACAATTTAGCTTATGTTTCTTTTTCCACTTCAGCCATTTTCCTCCACCAACCTGCCTCTGTTTTCTGCTGCGTGCTTTGTGTGTAAATTTAATATATATATTACAGCTCAATTCTTCCAACAATTTAGCTTATGTTTCTTTTTCCACTTCAGCCATTTTCCTCCACCAACCTGCCTCTGTTTTCTGCTGCGTGCTTTGTGTGTAAATTTAATATATATATTACAGCTCAATTCTTCCAACAATTTAGCTTATGTTTCTTTTTCCACTTCAGCCATTTTTTTTTTTTTACTTTTTCTATTTCTCTTTCTTTTATTATCTCAATTGGCTGCGTTTCTCCTCTCCTGTGCGTGAATATATTATTTAAATTTCAGCCTCTCTTTGCTTTTCTCCCAAGCTGTCGCACTTTTTCTCACCTTTTTTCTTTCTAAATGGTTGTCCTCAATGTATGCGTAACATATATCATTTAGTGGTCCAATTTTTAGAAGCTCAAATTGCAGCCCAATTAATTTTGCAACCAATGTCAATTAAGTCCCCGCACTTTGAATTTTTGTCATTTTTCGCCTATTTTGCATTCTTTTATTCAATTTTTCATTAAATATAAAGTTTTACTTACAAAATATAATTTAACATAAATTAGGTAAAATTTAATTCAAAAGACAATAAAATATCATGATTTAACATCACAAATAAGTATAAAAACTACCTTATCCGATTTTAAAATTGATTTGCTCAAACGAATCACCATCTTGCAGAGGCATGTTAAGAGATAAATCATACATCAAATAAAGATTAAAATATAGATTAACTTATAAGGATTTAAGTTACTCCTTTTAAAACAATATCGTTCAAATCATGGAATTAGTCACTATACTACCATATCACCACAACACAATGGGGTTTCTGAACGTCGTCACCGTCATTTGGAGGAAACATATATCACCCTACTACATGATACCTCCTTACATCTCTCTTATTGGCCTCATGCCTTCCGTACTACCACATATCTCATAAATCGTAAACCCACCCTTGTTAAGAAACTAATCTCCCTATGAAGCCTTATTTGGGAAATTCCTGAACTGTCTCAAATTAAAGAAATTTTATTGCCTTTGCTTTTTGCTCACCAAGCCTTACAACACTCATAAAAGTCAACCCAAATCCGTTCCATGCTTATTTCTTGGCTATTCTCAAATCCAAAATGTATATAAGTGTCTGGATCTTAAAACTAACACATTGTACATCTCTAGGCACGTTTTGTTTGATGAGAGCCAAAATTCGATCAAGTCGCATGCCACACAGAACAAGTGTCATCCATCTATCCAGCTGCTTCGAATGAGTCACCACCGCTAATGGCTTCGGATTGTGTTACTGCTGCTTTTACATTACCTCCAGATATCGTTCATGTGCTCCATGTTCCCTTTTTGAGTCAATCTACCTCACATGCACCCTACACTAACTCACATGTCCAACATTACCATGAGGTCATTTCATCATGTACAATATCAGCGTGTCTTCTCCTATGCCAAACTCACCAACAACTATAGCTTCTGTCCAGACAAAGTTAACACATGTCTCCACACAAAGTACCCATCTAATGACTACCCAATCCCAAAACCACATCTACAAACCCAAACAATTTTACTCGATCACAAAACATCCTATCCAAGCCACCATTGAACCAACTTGTGTGAGTTAAGCACTCTGTGATCCCCAGTGGCGCAATGCTATGTCAGATGAGTAGTATTGAGATAGCATGATGTTAACAATGCCATTTTAAATGGTGAGTTGATTAAAAATGTGTATATGGTTCAGCCACCAATGTTCAAAGATATGTCCAATCATGTTCATGTTTGCAGATTGCGTAAGGCCATTCATGGTCTCAAACGGGTCCCTTGAGCTTGGTACTCCTCTCTGAAACATGCCCTGATCGAGCTTAGCTTTCAAAATTCAAAAGTAGATTCATCCTTATTTATCTATCGGGATGGTTTTGTTACATGTTATTTTCTGGTTTATGTGGATGACCATGTTATTACAGATAGCGAGTAACCCTAAGTTTTTCACCTCACTTATTCACAGTCTTAGTATACTCTTTTCTCTCAAAGACATGGGAAACTCCAATGCTTAGGTGTGGAAGTCATCTCCACCACAACGGGCTTATTCTTGTCACGATACAAATACGTATGTGATCTACTATCTAAAACCAATATGATTGGTGCTAAGGATGTCTCTACTTTGCTATCCACCAACACTGCCCTAAAATTAATTGATGGTAGCTCTATTGTTGAAAGCAAAGAATTTCTTCGTTTGATAAGGGCTCCAGTACCTCTATCTCACAAGCTCGGATGTCAATAAACTATCTCAGTTTACGCATAAGCCAACTATCATCCACTGGGCCACCACAAAGCGAAGCATACCATTTTTCATGGTATTCAACTCCGCTCTCACCATACACTTCGATGTAGATTGGGCGGACAATCTTGATGATCGTACGTCTACCTCTGCTTATATTAGTTTCCTTGGATCAAATCCCATCTCTTGGTGCTCTAAGAAACAATAAACGATCGCCCGGTCATCTATTGGGGCTAAATATAGGGCCCTTGCCAATGCTGCCTTTGAAATACTATGGCTGCTTGCCTTGTTCAAAAAGTTGGGATTTCCACTCAAGAATTCGCTTTGTTAAGTGATAATCTTGGTGCAACACATCTAAACTTTAATCCAGTGCAGCACTCTAGGATGAAGCACGTCCATATTGACTTACACTTTGTTTGAGACATGGTTCAACAAGGCACAATCCATGTTCATCATGTCAAACACCCAAGATCAGCTAGCGGATCTTCTCACCAAGTCGTTGTCACAACAACATATAGAAGCTCTTCAGAATAAGATTTGTCTTGCCGATGGCAACCCCATATTACAGGGGCGTATCAAGGATAATAACTCAAGTCAAGGCAAAGATAGAGGATGATTCTTAAGCTTATATCAAGGCCAATCTTAGAATGTAATGCTAGGAAATTGCAACCACAAAATTAGTCTAGTTGCTCACAATAAACCTTCTATGATGTGTATGAAAGCTGTATGAACTTGTAAATAAAATGTGTACAAAAAAATATCTCATTGATTTGATCAGTACAGAAATTCAGACTATCTTACAATTTCATCTCATAGACAACAATATTAGAATTAAGCCCCTTGTACACCAAATTTGATAGCTTAGTGTACATTCCCCTCACAATAGAGGTGGGGCCCGCTTCCAAAAAGAAGCAAGCCCCCCTCTATTGTGAGAGGGTGTCATGTTTGATGTACGCTTTTGAGTGTACATCTAGCATGATTGACAATATTAAGATATGGATAGAACTCATTAAATATTGATTTTGAAACCGACCGTCTATTTCATACGTATTAATGCCACGTATGCAACAAATCAGTTTTGGTTAGGAAAAATTATGGTTAGACTTCCCCAACCTTTTAGGTAGTGTGGATATAGCTCTCCAACATTTAAAAGAAGAGATTTTGATTTCCTAACTTAGTAAAGGTTGGGAGATTAGATCCTTGCGAGATGGAAAGTGTCAGTTTCACGTTAAAAGTAATTTTTTTTGTATTAAAAAGACTATGATGCCCTTGTTTAGAATTAAATAGGATAAAATAGATTTTGAAAAATGAAAATGAAATTAAAAAGAAGGGGAAAAAATCTCTAAATTAATCGTCTTCTTCCCCTTAATATTTGTAACCTTAAATTTGGCATTTGTTTTTAATATGCAAAGAAAACATTTTTACCTATTAACACCTCTCCCTCTCCCCCTCTCCCTCTCTTCGGGAATTTGGGCACACGTTGTATACCTGCAACAGAACCCAGTAGTTGAATTTAACCGTAATCCTTCATCTCGAAGTAGTACCAAAGTTTCAAATTTTCTAAGCATTTGAACAAATAATGCCCACGCACACAAGCTGTTCGATGTTTTGCCTCTGAATATTCTTGCCCTTGTCTTGTTATCATTCGGTACCATTAAGAAATTAAAGAAGAACTAAGAATTTCTTCCAGTAAAAATAGTGGTATGTATAGCAACAGGTTCTACTCTATAAATAACATTCTGAACAATTTTGTCCTGCAAACTCGCCATTTTGCACGAACCACTCCCAATGTAAACAAGGTCACATTGTATCTCCAAAGAGCAAAGCTCATTGATTCAATAAGACTTAGCCTACGCTCGAATTCTCCTGATAATTCCCTTCTCACAGCGTTAAGCAGTCCAGCATTAGACTCCTTTGTGGTCACCAATGCGCTCAGGGCAGCTCCTTCGCCCGACTCTGCTCTGTTTTTGGTCGAAACTCTGAAGAAAATCCCACATTTCTCGCATACTCAACATACCCTTTATGCACTGGCCAAGATTCTGGCAAAATCTGGCCAAGTTGGCAAACTTGGTGCTCTGATTAATGCCATCAATTCAGGCAAGTTTATAAATGTTGCACGTGTCAGTTTCATGGATCGCATGCGGTGGTATGCTGCTGTTGGTGATCTTGACGAGGTTTTTAGTATTTGGGATGAGTGGAGAAAAACCTTGGATAAGCATCCATGTACCGAGTCGTATAATATCGTAATGGGACTTTATGTTCAGAAGGGTATGGATTCTGAGGCCGTGAAGGTTTTCCGTAGGATGATTGAGGAAGGGGCGCTTCCGAATTCTAGAACATACACGGTTATGATTGAGCACCTTGTTAAGTCTAAGAAATTGGATTCAGCAATGGAAGTGCTTCGGATACTACCACTGATGAGAATTAAACGTACTTTAAGGCAGTATACTGCTTTGGTGGATATTTTTACTGCCACTGATCAGTTAGATTTGGTCAAGACTTTGCTTCACGAGATGCGTAGTGACGGGATATTGCCTGGTCAAGCAATGCAATTGTCTCTGCAACGAATGCGAGAGTTGGGCAATCTTAAGGAGATGGAGGAATCAGTTATGGAAATTATTCCTGATGCGAGGATAAAAACTGTAAGTTATTCTTTATACGGTACCACAGATTGTAGTGAGGATGATATTGATGATGGGGACGAAGGTGCTGACAGTGTTCATGGAAATGACAAAGACGAAGTTCAATTGAAACCGTGGTTGGACCCTGCTGCTTTGGCTAGTGCCTTGCAGCATTGGGGATCCGAGGAGGTTTCTGCCCTGGAAAATGCAAACTTTGTGTGGACAACTCGGTTGGTTTGCAAATTTATTAGGAGTTTCAAATCAGCTGAAACAGCGTGGCAGTTCTTTTGCTGGGTGACTTATCAGCCAGGATTTACTCATGATATCTACACTATTTCAAGGATGATCACCAAGTTGGCTCGCCATGGATGCGTCCATTTGGTTGATCAACTCTTGTTTAAGATACAACGAGAGGGTATGAAATTGTCATTTAGCACAATCAGACTAGTTATTGATTTTTACGGCATTACTGGAAAGGGTGATGCTGCTTTAAAAATTTTCAGTAGTGTCAAGACCTTTTGCAGTCCCATATCACAAAAATGTATGCTTCTTCTGTATTCCTCTCTGTTGAGGACATTGGCAAAGTGTAAGATGAATATTGAAGCGTTAGATATACTTGATGAGATGATTTTACTCGGGATTTCTCCAGATATACAGATATTTACGGGGTTGATGCGACATTATGCACTTCAAGGAGACATTAAAACGGTTCAAAGACTCTTCGGGATGGTAAAACAGAGTGATTTAGAGCCCGATGCTTATACGTACAAGGTTCTCATCCGAGCTTATTGCAAGTGCGAAAGAGCTGCTCTTGCATTGAGGATCTTTGAGGATATGATGAGCTCAGATTTAATGCCCGATTCCGCCACTAAAGACATGCTCGTCAAGAGTTTGTGGAAGGAAGGCAAGTTAAGAGAGGCAGCTGCAGTCGAAGAGAAAAGCGAGCAGAAGAGTTGTGAGTTTCCAATAGCTTTGCCTGGACAGATGTATTCTGTGAGCAATGGAGATCTTATAAGAGTTCATGACATATACTCGGGGAGTTTTACGACAACCGATGGTTAGGATTGTGCAAGCATTCGAGTAATAGTACTATGTTGTATCATTAAGCTGACTGTCATCTTCAGCCTTTAAGCATTGAAAATTTTTATTTTAAGAGAGAAATTTTGTTGCTTCTGGTGAGTGAAAAGGAAGAAACACGTTTTACCTATCTATTTAGAGGAAATCATTCAATAAAAAAAGTTCTGGGTAGAAAATTTTGGCCATCTTTTCGGCTAAACATATACATCTTTGAAGGTCATCCAACTTTTCGAGTCGAAATAATCATTGCAGAGAGAGTTGTGATGAAAACGCTGTAAAGAAAATATAATCTTTGCATAAACTTGGGATTATAGCATCACTAATGCGCTAGGTTGAAAAAAAATTCCGAATTATTTAATGAATAGATTCTCAAGTACAAATTAGCTTCTAAATTGATGTGACAAGAAAAAAAACATTATTTGGAGTGCACGTTCACTCAACAAAATGTATAATTTCTACTCCTCGACAAAATAGGAGTAGAAATTATACATTTTGCCGAGTGAACGTGCGCTCTAAATAATGTCTTTTTTCTTGTCAACTTGACAAAGTTCTTGTCAACTTGCATTCAAAATTTTGAAATGTCGTATATTTTGCTTGTGCCAAATTCTTTTAACAATCTATGGTTGCATTGGAAATGCTAAAGTCGGACAATCTTCTCATACATAAAATTCTTTAAAATTACATTTAGTCCATGAACTTCTTAAAAATTGCAAAAGCGCCTTAAAATTCTCAAATGTCTATAATGAAGCTAGGGGTCCCAATGGGCCGAGTTGAGCCCGTCTTTCAATACACAAGCTCGACTTGTGTCCACAAACTAAGCTTGATTTGACCCTTGGGCTCGTGGATCCATGGGGCGAGCCGAACTATCCATGAGCACAGGACTTGGCTTGATTTTTTTAAAGAAATTAATCAAATGAGCCCAAAAATGAACAGAGTCAATCCGGCTTAATGAAAAAAAATGTGTCCGACTCAACTCATGGCTCATCTAAAAAAGGAGCTCGAACCGTACATAAGATGAGCTGGCCGTTTGTTAACCCTAAATGAAATTGGTTTCTACTAATTAATGACCGTATTTATTAAATTTAACAATTTCTCCATTAAAAAACATAATTTTCACTATTGTTCACCTTAGTCTTTAGAAAAGTAAAAAAGAAAGTCATTGTTTAACCTTACTTCGAACTTTATAATCAAATCGCATTATCATATTATGTAAAGTTTTCGTGATATTAAAACCATCCCCCTTCAAAATAAATTTCATACTAGAAAGTCGTATATGCATAGTTTTTATTGTTGAACTGCGACATTGTGTAACGTTTGGCGACCAAATAAGTCATCAAGATCCCAAATGGCACTACATTATCACCCTTGTTTGGTCCCATCAAATTCAGTGACGGATCCATGGGTGGTCAAGGTAAGATCCAGCCATCCAACCACAAGAATAAAAAATTAGAGAACAATTTTCAGCTTGGCCATTCATGAAGATCACATTTTATTATAATTCCTGACAGTTACGAAAGATTCTTGGTACCATTTTGATAATAATAACTAAGGATGACAAGATGACAAGGGCTGTCAATAGATTGAATTTCGATTCGAATTCGTTCTCAATTCGTGAAATTAATGGAAAATGGATTCAACGTCTCAATCCGATATTTCGATAATAATTTGAATCCAATAATCCATTAACTAAATGGATCAAATATAGATATAGGTCAATCTGATCCGATTTGTTATAAATATTTGAGTCGGTAAAATATTTTTATGACATGTTATTTGTCGCTAAAATAAATAAATGAGAAAATTAAAAAAATTAGAATAAAAAAATCTTCAAATTCAAAACATAAAAAAATAAAAAATTCAATCCACGTGTCCACAGTGTTCTAAAAAGCATAATGCGATACGTGGAGGTTTTGGGTTGGCGAGTCTAGATGAAGCCTAATCGTAAAAAAACATAAAAAAATATTTTCTTATTTTAATATTATTTTAAATTTTTAATCAATCTAAAAATTATTTGGAGAGTTTTAATTTTTTATTAATTATTAAAAGATAAGAAAAAGGATTAATTTCATAAATTATAAATAACTATTTACATAATAATATAATACGCTACTGTCGAACCAAATATACAATACATTATAGTCAAATCAAAGGTACAATATACTACAGCCAAACTAAATGAATTCTTATCCTACATCGAAAGTTTATAACAAAATGCTTGGAGATGCCCTATATAAATTTTGTGTCTTTCAATCCAATTCGCTAAAAGTTAAAAAAGTTGAAAAATTTATAATTATTGAAGCTTTTTAAGAATTGAAAATTTTGGGGAAAAAAAGTTAATTTCAATATTGATTTCATTTTCCTAATTTCTATAATTTTGGATCGAATATCCAATAACATAGCAAATAGGATATGAATTTAACAATTAAATATGTGAACAATACATAAATAAAGTATTTAAGTATCACCATTTCAAAATTAATGATAGAGGTTTTAAATTTCAAGAATCAAGTTTTCATTAAAATTCATAATTTAATTAATTAATTATATATTTAATTAATAAGTATATAAAAGTCACATATCTATGTAATTTGGTCACAATTCAAAAATTTTAGATCACAATTCAAAAATTTTATATGTCACAAATTAAAAATTTTAAAATTACAATTTGTTCATCGATCACAAATCACAAAATTTATAAGTCACGCAATTTATTTTACGATCACAAAATATCAAATTATAGGTCATAGATTACTTTTATTGGTCACAACTTGATTATAACTTAATAAAATGTGAGTCGCAGTCACAATTTTTAGGTCACACATTATTAACTTGTCAAAAATTAACCAATTATTGGTCATAATCAACCAAATAATTGGTCACAGACACCCACATCCATCTCATCCCACCCACGACCATCGTCACGACACCAAGACCACTGGATTTGCACCAAGACCACTGGATCTGTACAAAGCCACCGGATGAGGCTATACCATCTCGTGGAGACTAGGCTGCCGACGAAGAGGGAATAGAGTGGATAAGAGAGAAGGTGGAGAAACGGACCGTGTGTGGAGACCGTGAGGGAGTGGAAGGGTGTTGATTAGTTTAGGGTTTGGATAGTGTAGGTAGATATAAAAAAAAAATTAAATCTTTAATTAAAACCCGATTTTTGTATTATAAAACTAGATACCTGATTTATGAAAATAGTATTTTAAAACAAGGTGTAGGTGTAATTTCTTCATCAAATATTTGTTGGATTATCATATAGGATATAGTCAAATCCGGTCCATATCCGATCAATTTACAACCTTAGGATTGACCTTGTAACTGATTAATAATGACTAATTTAGAAATAAATATAATCTTAGTAACTAATTTGAAATAAGGCCCTGATTGAATTGCTATTTTTTATAAGGAAGTGGAAAAATGTTTTCAGTTTTCCATGCTTTTGACTGTTTGATGGACAAGTTTTTGCCAGGAATTCATTTTCCCATTTATTGCCTCACGCACCTGAATTCCACATTTTTAAGGAAATTGTTTTTAGTGGAAATCTGATTTTCCATCTTTTTTTTTTTTTTTCAATTGGAAAAAATTCTAGACACAATGGTAAAAAAATTTATCATTTTTATAGACAATTTTCATACAAAACAAATTTTTTTTTTTACAAGTGAAACAAATTCTAGACCCAATGGTAAAAAAAATTATCACTTTAATTGACAATTTTCATAAAAAATAAAGTCATACGGACACCAAACTTTCAACATTTTCCATGTGAAAAATTATACCAATCAAACACAATTAATTACAATTCTCAGTAAAACAATTTCTAGACAATTCAATTCCCTAGAATTCATTTTCTTTCCACTCATTTTTCACATTTGCAATCAAACGAACCCTAAATTAAACTTTAGCAGTCAAAACGTACATGTTACCCAAGAATCAGACTACCATTACTTGTACTCCCATTTCCATCACCTCGTGAGAGATTAGGTCTGACTTCAACAAGCATTGGACACTTAATCAAAACCTTAACACAAACCAGATCCCGTTAGATGGTTAGACCCTAGTTGACACACTAGGAATAGAACAGAAATAACTGGTCCATGCCTTGTGACATGTGAGTTGTAATTAGCTAATCTAATATCCACCATTTTCTTCCATGCCACCTCTTAGAACACAAATAACAAGTTCAAATTAGACGACGTAATTAGGAGGAAATAGAAACTTGTATAAGATGAAGTAGAATGGTACGAGGAAATGTCGGTTCGGAGTATGACAAGGGTAAAGAACATATTTTAAACCAAATGTGCATAGCATAGAAGAAAACCGTTTCTTTTAGGTTTTAGGGATTGCTTTTGATCCCGAAGACAGATATAATATTGGGAAATAGAAAAGTAATGATAAACCAATAAAATAAAAAATGCACCCTGAATTACATCTCCAGTCAGTAAGTCCAATCTGTCCAATCTCCATTAAAACAAGCGTCACTCCAATTATCAGACAAAGAATACCCCCAACAGCAGCACTATCACGCAGTTCAACGGCCAGCCAGTCAGGAATGATGACGAATAAAGGAAACCGAGATGCTGCAAGTATAGGCAATAGATGAATCTTCGTAATTATTGAACCATTTGAAAGCTTAAACTTTTACGAAGAAAAAAATTGAACTTAATCTTCAAAACCGCCACCCATGTGCAGGCCTGATTCCTTTGTTTTTTATAAACGAATTGATACGTGCTCAATTTTCATAAATGAGTGGTGGTGAGACTTGAACCAAGGTATTTTTCCCTCTTTGATATATTGAACCATGTCATTCATTTTATTTATTCAACTTCAATCTTCAACAATACTTATCAGCTCACGCTATTTATTTTTCGATAACTGAATTAAACATTATATTGAAGGAGATAAGCTAGGTTCTTATGGAAGTAACAGTACCGTGAAAATCTTGAGGGAAGAAGAGGTTAGCTGCAACTGCAAGAAAGGCTACCCAACGTCCGAATTGACCCCTGTAGAATATGAGGCTATTTAGAACTCGGGGCTAAAATGAATTTAATTAGAAGGAAATATTTATAGAATACAGAATTAGAATGTACCGGAGAATCTTGAAGAGCATTGTGGGGAAACATATGAAGAGATATATCACAAGAAGAGAAGTGTGCTTTGACGACCTTCTCCCTGCTCGGTTAACAATTAACAGAATTCTGCAGTAATAAGAATGAGAAAAACACAGATAATTAGAAACATCCAAGAAATTTTCAGTCTTATACCTGCACAGTTGACATGCCTATATCGTGAAAGAAACAGTTAGCCCTACAAGAACTACAAGCATATAGAAGCATTTGGTAAAAAATTCACAAAATGAAACAACCTAACTAAAGAACTCTTAATTTTTCTTAAACCTCAACTGCATGGGTATTCCCCCATTGTCCTCGTATCTCTTAACACAAAACTGCATCAGGCACGCGAATATGGAATAAATGCCAGTGAGCCACAAAACTAGTCAGATTTGACCAGTCTTTATTCATCCATTCTAGCCATTCATATATAAGCTGAATTACAAGACTTATGTTCGCTTAGAATTTAGTTCTTTAGAAGAAACCGATTTGTAAGGTTGACTGGGCAATCCACTGGAAGTCTCAAAACAATTCGAAGACTACAATTACATGTATAAATTTATGTCCTTGTACATAGGATGATCTAATTAAAATTTTTCTTGATTTCCAGTAAAGGAAAACGTAATATCTAATTTTCCCAAAATTTGGCAACCTGTAACTGAAGACCACCCACATGGAACAGCTGCAAATGGCCCCCAACTTTCTAACCTAAATCTGGAGCTCCTGGTATTCTCCATGGCTCTTCTTGTCTACATCATTCTATCTATTCAACCTGAGTCAGTGATACTTTTCGGCACCAGTCTTTTCTCTTTCTTTTAATTTGAATCATTACATGGTTCGAGGTCTCCTTTTAGATTGTCTTGTGTTTCAAGTTAATCGGAATGATACCTTCGAGCCTTCATTAAATTCTTCAACTTGTATAAGAGCAAAACTCTGAGCAGAAGGTTTGCAAAGTTAAGCTGAGTGAGGGGCATACTGATAGATATTATACTTTCTCCAATTCAATCCTCACTCTATCGTGGCCCTCAGGACACGAGTTCGAAACCTAACTAAAAGGAGTCAAGAACGAGCAAATTCAGCGCAATTGAGAGTGATTTGCAGCAAAAGAACTTTAGCATTTCATTCCACTTATATACAGTATAAAACCTATACAAGCAAGATACATATAAAAGGAATATTCTAATTCTTTAACCAACTAATGCTAGATGGCATAAAAACTTATATTCTCAATTCAAAACCGGGACCAGTGAGAGTAGTGCAAGCACTAATAATTTTGTTGTGGTGTTAATTTGTTGGTAATGCAAATTCTCACATTACTTCAACACCCCCTCTTAAGGTGGAGTGTATCTCTAACACTCCAAACTTGTCCCTAAGGAATAAGAACCTGGAATGTGAGAGTAGTTTGGTGAGTAACGGCACATAATTAATTTCCAATTCTCATCTCTGACGAAGTGAACATCAAGTTCTATATGCTTGGTTCGTGCATGATAAACTGGATTTGAAGTTAATGTACTAGCATTTAAGTTATCACACCAAATTTTAGGGACTGGCATTGAGGTACTCCCAATTCTTTAAGCAAGGACTAAATCCATGTAATTTCAGCTGCACTTTGAGCAAGGGCTCGATATTCTGCCTCAGTGCTTGACCTTGCTGCCACTTGTTGTTTCTTTGAACACCAGGATACTAGGTTGTCTCCAAGGTAAACACAGTAGCTTGCAGTAGATCTTCTATCATCCGAACATGATGCCCGTCAGAGTCTGCGCATGAGATTATGTCAAGGCTGTCATTCTTACGAATTGCAAGTCTATAGTTTAGTGTTCCCTTCAAATATCTGAAAACTCTTTTCAGTGCTTTTCAATGAGTATCTGTGGGTATTTGAAGGAATTGGCTCATTCTATTGACTGCTTATGTAACATCAGGTCTTGTGTGAGCTAAGTATTGTAGACCTTTAATGGCATTCCTGTACAAACTTCGATCTCTCATAGGTTGTCCTCCAGTTTTGGAGGTCAATTTCCCAACTGCCATTGGTGTAAGACTTGGTTTGAGGTTTTCATAACCGAAACTTTTGAGCAAATAAGTAGCATACCTCGTTTGAGTTAGATATAGGCCTGATGTATCCCTGTGTACCTCCATTCCCAGAAATTGGTTGAGGTTCCCAATATCCTTAAGAGCAAAACATGTGTTCAGATTGTCAATAACTTCCTAGAGTTTCTGACTGTTGTTCCCTGTTATTATTATATCATCAACATAGGCAAGTGCAAACAATTTTTCTTTACCATCTGAAGAGAAGAGTAAGTTATCAGCTTGAGACTGCTTGAAGTTCTATTTCGTCAAGGTAGTTTCCAGCTTTTCATGCCAGGCTCTTGGAGCTTGTTTCAATCCGTATAAAGCTTGCTCTAGCTTGCATACGAAATCAGGATTCTCCCTATCCACAAAGCTTTGAGGCTGATCCATATATACCACTTCATTCAACTTCTCATTTAGAAAGGCATTGTTTACATCAATCTACCTCATATGCCAGCCTCTTGTAACTGCAAGAGTTAATATGATTTTTTGAGTTGATGCCTTGATAACTGGACTGAAAGTTTCTCCATAGTCAACACCTTATGTTTGAAGAAAACCTTTGGCAACTAGCCGTGCTTTGTGCCTCTGAACCTTTCCTTCTCTGTTACGTTTTAATCTGAACACCCATTTATTTCCAATCACTTTCATTCCAGCCTCAGGAGGTACCAGTGTCCATGTTTCATTTTTCACGAGAGCATTGTACTCCTCTTGCATTGCTTTCTTCCAATCATTACTTTGTAAGGTATCATCAACTGATAGAGGTTCAGTTTCACCTTGTGCCTGACTTGTGTAGACCTTGGGTTTGAAGATTCCTGCCTTGCTTCTAGTAATCATATGATAAGCAGCAGCTTGTGTGACATTTTAATCCTGAATGTTGAGCTCATTACTTACACCTTGAACTCCATATTCCTCCTGATTAGTGTCCTCAACCTCTTGATCAGTTTGATCATTTTGGTACTACCTTTGATTGTCAGCTTCTCTTATTTCAAACTCCAAGCCATGGCTTGGATCCATATCAGAAGAATCTGCTGCAAGTGGTGCATCTGAGTGAGTTGTATCAGCTGTGTTATGAGGAATTGTTCTGTGACTAGACTCACTATTAAAAGGAAGGAGACTGACAGTAATTTGGGAATTTTGTGGTTGTGACATTTTGTTTAGGAAGCCCCTTGAATAGAAAGTCTAACTCATTGAATATCACGTCTTGGAATATAAATTCTACCATTTGGACTAAAACATTTATAGCCTTTGTGTGTGTCACCATAACCAAGAAACACACTTCTTTGTAAGTGAAAACTAAACTCATGTTTTTGGTAAGGTCTAAGGCAGGGATAACATGCACAGCCGAAAGTTTTGAGAGTCTTGTGATCAAACTCTCTTCCAAATAGCACTTGAAAACGTGATTTATGTTTAAGTATGGGACTTGGCAGTCTATTGATCAAATATGTTGGTGATGTAAAGGATTCCCACCAGTAGTATAGGGGCATTTTTGCTTGTGCCAACAAGGTTAGTCCAGTTTCAGTAACATGTCTGTGTTTCCTCTCTGCCCTATCGTTTTGTGCTGAAGGGTAGGGTACCTAAGTTCTATGCCAGATTCAGAGGCAATTTTGTTAAAGGTTCTGAACCCTACTCCCCAATCAGATTGTAGTTCTTTGATTTTCCTTTTAACCCTATTTTCTACGAGATTTTTGAATTGAATGAAGGTGGTAAGTGCTTCATATTTTTGTTTCAAATGATAGATCCATGTGAATCTGCTATGATCATCCACAAAAAGTATATAATACTTAAACCCTGTGGTAGAATTTAAAGGTGCAGGTCCCCAAACATCAGTGTGAATCAAGTCCAAAGGTTTTGAAGCATGTGAAGAGGATATTTTAAAAGGTAATGCATGTGATTTTCCTAATTCACAAGATTCACAAAAGGCTGAAATTTCATTAACTTGGGAAAGTTTATTACAAGACTTCATAACTTGACTCAAAACATGGTTTGAAGGGTGGCCTAGTCTTCTGTGCCACACATTGATTTCAGACTCAAATGGCTCGACTGGTTTGGTTAGTTCACAACTAGACTTCACTGTGAAACAGGTGGAGTTGTTTTCGATGTCTGACTTTTGGATTGTGATTTTGGGGCTGGAGCTTGGTAATCTCAGCCGGTATAACCCATCTTTAAGCACTCTCTGTAGCAGGATCTTCTTGGTTTCCAGATCCTTGACAACCCAAAAGTTAGAATAAAACTCCATGAAGACATTGTTGTCATTTGTAAGTTGAGAAACACTAATTAAGTTCTTCTTAATTGCAGGTACTAGCAGTAGTTTATTTAGAGCAAGAGACTTGTTATCAAGTGAAGGAATACCTCCTTTTCCAACATGTGAAATTTCCAAAGGGTTTCCATCACCAATTAGAACTTTCTCTTTACCTTCATATCTCTTAGAAATTGACAGGTTTCCTTTATCAGCTGTGACGTGGTTGCTTGCACCAGTGTCTACAAACCAGGCTGAATATTCAAAAACTGAGGCGAGGCTACAAATGCAGCAGGAGTTGAGCTCTTGTTTTGCAGATTTTGATTTGCAGGCCTGCTTCCCATGAATCTGTCATCATATCTGTTGAAACACCAACTTGCTGAGTGATTGCTCAACCCACAAATCTGGCAGGGTCCTCTACTGTCACCTTGCCTATTAGCTCTACCTCTTCCTCTTGTCCTACCTTTGCAATTTCTAGTTCTCCCTCTAAAAAACCTGCTACCTCCGGAACTTGTCCTCGAATTATAGGCATAATCATATTCTTCAAAAGTAAGAAATTGTTTTTGTCAAGTTTAAGAGATGGCGTCTGGGTAAGGTTCATCCCAAACGGTGAGGCTTGAATTATTCCACTTTGGATGGTTGGTGTGATACTTTGAGCTAACTAATTTGTTGCGTCACTGGCCATTTTTGCTCTGATACCAAGTCAAGAAACGAGCTAATTCAGGGCAATTAAGAGTGATTTGCAGCACAAGAACTTTAACATTTCATTCCACTTATATACAGCATAAAACCTATACAAGCAAGATACATATAAAAGGAATATTCTGATTCTTTAACCAACTAATGCTAGGTGGCATAACAACTTATATTCTCAATTCAAAACCGGGACCAGTGAGAGTAGTGCAAGCACTAATAATTCTATTGTGGTGTTAATTTGTTAGAAATGCAAATTCTCACATTACTTCAACAAGGGGATAGATGGCATTGGAAAGAATCACGCTTCAACCTTCACATTGAGATATACAAGAGCCAACTTCTAAATCAAGCAGCAAATTTATAAATGTTGACAATAAACGACATCTCGATAACCAAATTAACAACACGTTGTTAATGGACCTTAAAATTCAAGCAAATGGTTTTAGGTACATTGCACGCACACTGGGAAAGGAGCCATAATTACACGCAACATACTCGCAGCTTTTTTTTCTCGACCATAATTAACAATCTAAGCATTCAAGTTCATGTTTTTTGAGAAGAACTAGCCCCTGCTGAAAACCCTTTCAATCCTAATAATTGATCTGCTCAAGAAAACTGATCCTTAACAAGAATGTAATAAGATGCAGAGTTCAAAATCAGTTTTGAGGAAGAGATCATTAGCTGCAAAGCATATTGCAGTCATATTTTTTAATAGATTATCTCCAACTCAGTAGGCCGTATCTCTTGGTGACCAACTATCCCAACTCGCAAACAAGCTGCAAGATGCTATGTTTCATCTGCAAACTCAACTTTTTAAAAGGTGGAAAATAAAATATATCAAGATTGAGTAATACTACTTTTGAGAAAAATCTCAGGCTACTTTATGTTAAAAGGCGCTCTACTCCTAGAAAATGTAATGATATATGATCTTCTGCAAGTATAAGAAAATTAAAATACGTGGAATACTCTACCTTGTACAGATTTTTAGTTCTTCATAACTGCTGCAAGTATTTTGGGAAATTTCGAAATGAACAATTTCATAAAAGTAATACTCCATGATCAGTCAGAATGTCACTCATTACAGAGAATAAAGAAGAGCATTTTTGACATTTACAAATTAAGAACAAGCACAGTGTAATTAAGCATCAGATCTGCAAAATATTCTAATTCAATAATGATTCCCAAATATTCAAGCAATTCTTTACTCAGTAATATATGTTGCGAAGTATTAAACCCAATTAAATTAGGAAGCAAAAGGGACTAACAAAATTTTAAAAAAAAATTCAAACAAAATATGATAGTAAACAACCCATTTACATTGAAACAACTACCCAGCAATAGTTTCAGAAATACTATAAAATGATTACATGGCAGCGACGGTTCCACCCCACTGGAACGCGGTGCGATTTTTATGGGTAGTTGCTGATGCAGTAATCATCTGAATTAAAGATTTTAATGGCATCCCCATGTTAGATTAATTACTGGAACTTTGACTTTGAAGTGGAATGGGAATGGATAAACAATCACTCGAGTTAGTTTTCCCAATTTCAATTCTCCATCATCAAAATCATTTTTTAGTCCAAAATGGCGAAAAGTAAAGATTTTTTAAAGTCCCATCAAAAGAGACTGTACGTTTAGCACGATTCACAAAGGGAGAAGGAAAACTGTGGGTGCTGTCAGAAATAAATTGGAAATAAGTTCGGTCATATTCTCTTTGTCGTTTTCAAATCGTTTTCTGTTTTCAATTTTTCAAAATAGTGAAAACGCGTTCTCTTTCTTATTTTTCAAAATGCGTTTCTGAAAATGAAAATTTTTTTACAAAGGAAATGGAAAATGAAGAAAAGCTCGTTTTGGATGTTTTGAGGCCAAAAGAAGGTAAAAGCCCAAAACACGCGAAACAGGCCGTTTTCCATTTCCTCTCCCTCTCCCGTCTTCTCCCTCTCCCTCTCCCGTCCTCTCCCTCTCCCGTCTCCCTCTCCAAGAACCTAGGGCAAACAGTGTGCTGCATATGCCGTAAACTTCGTCGATCCGTCTCCGTCGCCCGTAACCTAGGCTCTTCTGGAAACCATCTCATGAACCCACAATCCGAAGCGTGCATCTAGTCGTTTTCCATTCCCGTTATTCTACAATTGTTGACTTCAATCATGTTTCTCCTCTGATTTTGTAATTTGTTGGGTGTTAAATAATTTTATTGATGCTGTGGTGGGGGAATTTCTGAGGCGGCATTGGGTAATTGTGGTGGCCGTGAATTCGCAGACGGGAAGTGTAGATGGAGGTGGAGGCGGAATTTCTGCTGGAGGGGAAGTGTAGATGGAGGTGGAGGCGGAATTGGTAGTGTTCTGCAGTGTCTTGTTCTAGTAGAAAGGATCTGAGATACGATGAGGAGGGAGTTGAGTTAATTGAAAACTCTGGTGTCAGTGAAAATTCATTACAATATTCTCGACAGATCTCTTCCTGAAGTCTCCCTCTCAAAACCCCAACCCCAAAGCCTTATCACAATCTCTCTTCTTTTCCTATCCTTCTTCCCTTATCCATAATCCCTCAAAACCCTTTATCTTAAAAGTGTTCTTAACCTTCAATTCCTTGTTACTCCGTCCATGGATTCTAAGGAAGCGACGGCGTTTCCCGTTTCAGAGACTTCCACAGGTTCTTCTTCCTCTTCTTCTTATGTATCTAATAATCAAAATTTATTGAAAATAAGTGTTGTGGACAGTGATGGTAAGGATAATTGTGAGAATGGGATTAAAGATAGTGTTTCTGATGAAGAGGACGAGGGGGGTTATGTTAGTGGGCAAGAGGAGTTTGAACCGGCTTCGGAGAAGCTGGTTTTGACAGGGGCGGATGGGGAAGCTGTAGGGAAGGGTGCTGAGGATAGGGGTTTTGATGAGGCCTCGGGAGTTTCAATGGCAAAAGTCGATGCTTTGCCGATTTCCGGGGTTTCTGAGAATAATAGTGGTGTTGAATTTAGGTTGCCTTTTTTTATATTTGAAAAAAATATTTCAAAATTCACCAACTTCAAAATTTATATATTATTTAATACTATATTAACATTAAACAATAAAAATTTATTTTTTTAATAAAATATTCTTAAAAAAAATTCTCAAAATTTCAAAGTAAACGAGTTTTCCATTTTTATGTTTTCGGAAACAGTTTTTCAGAATGGCAAAGAGAACGCATTTTCAGAAATTTCAAAATAGACACTCAAAACACAAAACGAATTCAAAACTTAAAACACAAAATTGAAACACAAAGAGAACGGCCCCTTCATTTTTCAAGAAATAAAAAAATTAAAGCCTTAAATGGAGATTGACAAAGGGCTAAGAAAGCAGAAGACACGATTGATTGATCAATCATGTTACAAGTACACTAACTTAGACATCAAATTTGATATTGTACCACATGACGACATCACATTGGACAGTTTTTAAAAACAACACACTTTCCCGCCAAACACAATTTGAATTTACACATGATGTCAAACTTGATGTCAAGAAAACAATGTACAAGAAGCTTTATTCTTGATTGATAGGGGTGATGGTGAAGTATTTTCTTTGTATTTTCTTTACTTTTTACTTTTTCTTTTCTTTTCTTTTCTTTTCTATTCTATTTTATATATTTTTTTCTACTAAAATTATATTTTTTTATTCATCGTATCGTATCACTAAAGTGAATTGTTTCAAAAATTACTGAACTTATACTATGATCACGGGCTGCTCACTGAACTTCATTCTGCTTCACGATACTCACTCAACTTTGTCATTTCTCTCTCCATCCACCACTTTCAAAAAATTCGTTTGTTGGACGCCTACGTGGCAAATGGAATTCCTAGATTGTGTTTGACGGCCGTTAAAAAATTACAAATCAACAAAAACATTGTTTCATCACTCATCCAACTGACTCTAAGTCACAATTTACTCATCAAACTTCAAAATGATTCCCAATGGTCACTTATCTTTAAGATATTGCACTACATCTATTATTCGTCATATTTCGTTCACTTCATCGCTAATGTTCACATAGAAAATCCAAATAATAAGTTACAAATGTTAGAAAAATCATAACTCAATGAAACTATCAATTTACTAAAATCACCATGTGTGAAACATGACTTCCACGGCCTCATAAATTTTTTTAAAATCCAATAAAGCGTCATCAATTATTTTTTAGAAAGATCACTTTTATAATTCGAACGTTTATTGTGTGAAAAATAGGTTTCAATCTAAAACTGAAAATCGAAAACTTAACTTGATTTGTGAAAATATTTTGTCTATATTTCATCGATTTTATTTCTGATTTATTCAATTGATCATATGGTGATTTCCATGTATTGATGGTTTGGTTGAGTTGTAATTTTTTTGATAATTTTAATTACCCGTGAAATTTCGGACAATAAATTAGCAACGAAGTGAATAAAATATGACGAATAATGGATGAAGTGCAATTCTTAAGGATGAGTGACCATTGAGAAACATTTTGAAATTCAATGAGTAAACTGCGACATAGTGTAAGTTAGATGAGTGATGAAACAATGATTTTGCTAATTTGTAATTTTTTAACGGGCATCAGACGTCACCTAGGAATTCTGTCTTCCACGTCGCGCCCAACAAATGGATTTTTTGACAATGGTGGATGGAGAGGTAAATGGCAAAATTGAGCGAGTACTGTGGAGTAGAATGAAGTTCGACGAGCAGTCCGTGACGACGGTATAAGTTCAATTATTTTTGAAACAATTCACTTTGTATCACTACTATATAAAAGAGGCACTTCTGTGTTTACTATTCATAACTGAATGGTCGTGCTGGACGAGTCGAGCCGAGTGGGCCGTCATAGCCGCGCCACCATTTAATAGTACGTACATCGTACGTACATTCATTTCTTTATCAATCCTCTCTCACTTCATTTCTCTTCTCTTTTCAAAAATTATTACAGCTGTCACTCCAGTAAAAATAGTGAACTAAGGTGGTTTCTTTAACTTTTTCTTTTCAATTTTTTCTTTACCTTTCCGTTTTGATTTCTTGAAAAAACCTCTTCGAATTGCAGCTTTCACTCGAAGAAAAAATCTTCCGTTCTGCATCGTCGAAGCTCAAAATTGGAAAATTGAAAATAAAGGGTTATTTCTTTTAACTTTTTCTTTTTCAAAAGTGTTCCATGCCTGAGTACACTTTTTTAGGTTTTGCTACAGGGTCACAAGTGTGCTGTAAGTAAATCTCCCCCACCTATGACATTTGATTACTCGTGATTATTCCAAAGAATTATTATTTTTTAGGGTCTAGAACTATTATTCATTAAATGAGAAGCTATTGTTGACTATTCTACAAATAAAAGTCAAAATTTGGTTCTTATGAGTGGTTTAACAAAATATGTACCGTTTAACTAATTTTTTTTTTTTTTTTTTCATTAGGTACACTTTCTCTTTGTGGTATTCCACCCCTTGCTTGTTTTTGGTCAAAAATAAAATTTTTAATGAGGTTGTTTTAGACGATTTTCACAATAATAGCTTAGACTAAAGCAGGATTAAGGAGGTCAGTTGGCCCCTGCTTTCTAGGGCCAAGTGGCCCTGGAAAAGTAACAGAATTAACCTATTTGTACAATTGTTGTTAACAATTGTGGTTGATAATATTGATGTTTTCAAAATTTATATCACTAATTTAAAAAAAAAGTTTTAAAATTAATAAATGTGACGTTGTCAAGTGTGAATTATCAATCAAGACTGTAAAAAAAAAAAGATTGTACAAGTAGCATTTTTGAAGTAGCAAAACCCAACATTTTTTAGAGAGAGAAGTTTTTAAATATAGAATTAATTTGGTTATACCATTAGTCCCTTTTTGTTTTCCATTCTTTCTTTTAAAATTATTTTTTTCTACATACTCATTTTTAAAAATATGATAAAATGTTCTATACATAAATAAAAATCTTTTTTTTACCTTTTAATCATACATCCTCCAAAAGTTTACTATTCAAAATAATATTTTTTTTCCAAAAAATTACTACAAACAAGGGCTAAATTACGTGACATTCGTAGGCGGAAAGGGTCCTACATATGCCGACTTGACATCGATTATTCAATTGGATTGGCCCTATTTGATTAAGTAACCTTGTCTTGAGCTTGGAACTCGACCCATTAGCCCCCACTTGATCCATTTTCATTTCTCTATATAGGTGTGATCTATTTCATACAAAATGTATGTTTTATCTGATATTAGTCAAATCTTCATATCTCATCTATTGCATCATTTATATCTCGTCCGATCGTTGACTCGACTATTGAAATGCAAATAATTGTCGGACCTTTTCTCGATCGTCGATATTTGCCCTCTAATGTGGTCTTCAAGTGTGCAAATGACGTAAACGTGGAGGTAAGGTGGCCAAAACTTTGTTGATGCAAAAATTGAGGTCAACGAATTTAAGGACGAATGTTGATTGATAACTCATCTGTTCAAATGATAGAAAATTTTGGATGCCAATTTGCCATAATTATTTCTAAAATTCTTGGAGGAATATTTGATTTTAAATATGCGTTCCTGACCATTGTTTCCTTTTTTTTTTTTGGTGTGCTTCTATGTGCTCTTTTCATTTCAATTTGAATGTTCAATTTATCTGCGGATCAATGTAATGAGTTCATCATAACTTAAACTTGAATAATACTATTTATTCTTATGATGATAGAACGTCGATTATGTGGCAGTCTATGTGAAACAATGAGATTTGGCAGTTTAATTTTTATGAATGTGAGAGAGAGAAAAATGTGAACGGTAACGAATTGTAACATTACTGATATTGTATTACCATGATAATAAATAACGTTACTTCTTAAATTTTTCTCTTGAATAAAATTAAAATCACTAATCAATTCAATTATCAGCTAAATAATTGAAAGTATTAAAAACTATAACAATCATTCAAGATAAATAAGGATTAACGTCAAAGTCTAGAAATTATGCACGCATCCTAATCACAATTAACAAAGAGAGAACAAAGAGAGAGAGAGAGAGAAAATTGATATAGAAGAAAGTTAACCAAGCACCCTCACCAGAGCAAGCAAGATGCTCCATTAGGACCGTGTAACAACTGGGAGATAAGCCAGTCTGAAGCAATTTCCTTGTACACCTCAGTGTCCTTCAATCTTTGGTGAACAAACAAAACCTTCACGTCACTATGAAACAACTGTTGGACGACGCCCTTTTAAGTTTCATCTCCTCCCACTAATGCATTTGCTGAAATCCTCCTGGCTTACCCAAAAATATCCAGCATTGTAGTACAAGTATATTGATCGTGCTCAAACTTTTGGTGTCTACATTTTCTTTCCTGACAGATAATCTGGGAGATTTCTTCGTTTCTGATGGGTTTTTTTCTGTTTGATAGTTCTTTCGGAGCTAAAAGGCTTGGTAGTACTAATAAGCAAACCAAAGAAAGGTCTGAATTTTTTGAGGAATTCACGAGTTCTATTAGATAAAAATATTAAGATATACATCCGAGAAATCTCTGGAATGGCAGGACATGTAAAGGTAACGTGTAATCAAGAAAAGTAAGAGATATTTATCGATTGAATTCACAGAACTACTAAAAACTCACGAGAAAGTGAAAGTAGAAAGAGGGATGAAGGGTTCCTCCTCCGGTCTCGTTTCATTCTGCTCCAATTTGAAATCAAATATCGTTGGCTTAGTAGAATTCAAGTTTTTTCATAACATGCAAATTTATATCGGCTTAATTGAATTGAAATATTCCCTAGTTAATTGTTCCAATAATCACTAAACTTATATTTATGTCTTCGACTGCTCACTAAAGTTTCAAATTGAGTTTTGACCACTAAAATTATTATAATATTGGATGTTACTCGCTGGCATGACATTCGTTTCACAACTCTAATGGAATAGGTGACGGGCAGATAGAATGCACAGGTAGCACTCAAAACACCGTTATGCAAATTGACATATAAGAAAGACGTCTTGGATTGCTCACTATACATTTAAGACGTCTTTGATTGCTCAATACTACTATACATTTAAATTAAGGTGGTTGAGTTTTGGCCAGTGAACTTGTAAAACTGACGTCAGTTTGTCCTAAAAATTTAGGAATACTGTTCCAAGTATCACTTGCATAGTTGCATACAACATAAGTTTTTTCGTGGATGGGTGCTATTCAGTGGAGACTTACCTGGCTTGCATATGGGATGAGCCGAGCGTGAGTTGGCTCATTTCCAAATATCATGGCTCAGCTCATCCCATCAACTCTCCCCTTGATGGTGCGAGCTGATTACACCCCTAATATTTTGTAACAATGAGAAATTTGTTGAAATATGACACATGTTGGACAAATGGAGTCGGAGGTTATTAAAGGTACATACTACATACCATCTCAAATAAAGGTAAAACCATCCTACGAAGAACTTTTATGAGGTTCTAGTTACAAACTTCGGTACTGCAAAATTTACAATTGAATAACGCAATGCTGAACGTCTCAGTTCCCCTAAATTCGACCATAATCCTTCCCCTATTTTCCCCACCCCCACGAAGAAAAATGAGAAAAAGGAATAGAAAACGCACATGGCTTAATATAAGAAGAGGGAAAAACGTAAAAACAAGAATGCTAACAAACATGGAAAAATAACCAGTGATTCCATTCTGTACAATCTGCATTCTGATATCTGCAACTAACCCATTGCTCTATGCAGCTTGGTTATGCATTACTCCTACAATGTTTTCAGTTAGAAAGCAGGGAAATGCAATCAGAACTTCAATCGGCTGGTTCCATGGATCATCAGTTCATTACATCCCCATCAATGAAGTCTTTTATGTATTGGTCATTTCTACATTTTCTGGTAAATAGCCCTTCAACTCAACCATTTTGTTGGGCATGCTAACACTAACTCAACTCGACCATTTTTCCAAGTTTGTCAAACTTCTACTCGGGCAACTCTGTGGTTGAGTTCATAGAATTGCCAAGCTCATACAAGGATCAAAGACTGCATCTCTGATACATATTGTCCTCTAATCGACCATTACTCCACCATAAAACCAAAATACTTTGCATTTATCTTCCAAAATCCTAACTCAATTATTTTTCCTCAGTTGGAAAATTCTGATGTTACTCAAAAATCCTTTTTTGCAGAAGTTTATGCTCTCTTCTTTCATTTTCATATCCCCATTCGAAATGAAATATTATGTGAATATATATTATTTCTATTCTGATATGAAGGATGTTGGGTACCAAACATATCGATAAAAGAGAAGGGCATATTCATCAAACAACATCATTTGTAAAGTAGTCCATGAAATGTGTAATCTTTCAATTTGGCTAATTTTATTAATGATACACAGTCCACAACAATAAAAATTCATTTTGCTATTCTACTTTACAGATTGACTAAACTGTTCATTATTCAGAAATAAAATAAAATAAAATAACAGTCATCAAGAAAACATACTAGAGTTCTGGTTGGAGCCATTAGGATGATCCATAATTCTTCGCAATATTAATGCTCTTGCCATCCTTGTTTCTCGACTACACTTATCGGCGTGTTCATTCAAATCGTGTATAGTTTTCATAAATCCATTTACATTCTTCTTGATCTCCTCCACCGCGATCACCACCGCCTCATCTTCTCTCATTGCAAAATCCGCATTCGCCAACAATGCATCAATCTCGATCTGAAACCTGTCTACCAATACCCGAATACCATCCAAATCTTTAATCATAATGTAATTCCCAATCTGCATTGAAAGGAGTATTTCCCTTTGCCTCATCAACTCATTCTGGTACTTCTTCCAAATCGAGTTAAGCCATTTCCCCATCGACCCCAAAGGCACCGAGGCAGCTGCAGCCAATGCGGTTAACACCGGAGGTGCACTGACTGCAGCCGCCACCACAGAGCATATCAAAACCGAGGCGAAAGCCACCACGAATATCACATTCGACACCTTCCTCCATGCCTTCAATCTACCCAATTTCTTATCCAGCTTTCGCTTCCTCGCTTGCAATTTCTCCAACATCAAGATTTGCTGCTTGTACACCAAATTAAACAAGTTAAAAAATTCATCGTTAAAGGGATCATCCGTCCCTCTAAAATTCCTCAGTTCCTCTAAAGTTTTTGAATAATTTTTGACAGATCCACATTCCGAACCCTCAAAATGTTCTTCCTCGAATTTCCTGATGGCGACATTGATTATGGATTGAATATGAGAAGCGCGTTTGAGGCAGGACTCAAGGGCAGTGCAAAAATCTAGGGTTTGGAGGCTATTTTCGAAATAATCATCTACGAGATCGGCTAATTCTTTGTTTTTCCAAATATCCGTTTTGTTTTGGACAATGATTTCGACAACTCCTCGATTCATTTCTAGAAAACATTCAGTTACATCCCGGAGGGAGTCGAGGGAGACGCTTTGAACATCGAGGCTTACAGCTATGGAGTTGATGGCTCGGCTCGTCCGAGCTTGGAGGCTCGAATCGAAGTTCCGAAGATCCGGATCAGCTCTGCAGGCTGCTTCATATGAGCTCAGATTGGCGTCTCGTGAGTTCACCGAGTAGGAAGTGGTTCGACGTAGCGGCGGCGCCACAGTGTTGCGGCTGCTTTGCCTGATTATTTTACTAAGTTTACAGCCCATTTTTATCGATAATTCAAGAAATTTCTGGATTAACTAAGATTCATCTGTGAATGAGCTTTGAATTTGGATGAGAATATATTCTCAGTGTACGATGTATCCAAGAAGTTTCGGCGAGAAATGTAGAAAGGAACCTGTGTGTGTGCCCACCTGTGTGTGTGTGCGCCTTCCTCCATATGTGACTATTTGAATGTCATCGTGTCTAAAACAAATCATACAGAAAAAAAAAAAAAAAGAAAAATTAGATTATTTATTTATTTTTGGATAGGTCACTGGATTTAGAGGTATATTTTTTGTTGGTCACTCAATTTTGATTTATTGATGAGATAAAAGCATTTCCAGAAGTTTGTTTATAGGTTCAATTATAATTATATGAAAGAACGATGTTATTCG